TATTTTTGTTCACATTATCTATGTACACATAATTGTAATTGTATGTTATTTATAGGATAACGTTATCTTTTATGAAAAGAAACAAGACAAAAATTGTAGTGAATAATGCGAACTAAATGTAAGTGATTAGTGTGTTTTTATACACTCATTCACCTTTTAAGTTTGATTCTTTAATATAATAATTGCTTTTAAATATGTTGTTTTAATTAAAATGTGTTTATCGAATAAGCACCTTAGTGTCGTCCATGAGAAACGTTTGCGATTTTAGGGTCGCTTGCTATAGCTGTTATTAGTTATGTGAGATGGAATATATGATATCTAAAATACTGTTTTATTGATCAAGATTTACAGAATATGATATCTCAAATACGTTTTATTTGGAATCATTATGCTAAAGTGACTTCAGTCTGATAAAATGAATATTCTCGGTTTATACTTCAAACTCTTCTTACATGTTAACCTCTAAAAAGGTTTTATTTTCAAATTAATTATGCTATTTTTAAATTATCAGATTTTATTCTTTACACATTCTCTGTTAACTCAAATCCATTGTAATTGAACCTTGCATTTATAAGTTTTTAACTAACTTAACTTTAAGATTCTCTTAGTATAGATGAGTTTGGAAACTTATACAACTTCTTTTTAGATTTTTTAATTTTTATAATTACTTTGATATACATATTTCAATAAGTTCATATTAGGTATAACTGATATATATGAATATTATTTAAAAAATATGAAAAAAAAAACATTATGAAAAACCTTCTTGATTTTTTTCATGAAAATTATTTCATACTTTAAACTTTATATATCATGAAAAAAAGTATAAAGAGAATTTTATTATTGGTCAATCCTCTCACATTTCAATAAAGACCTTTGTTTTTCAAAATTTTTGTTTTGAAAGATTGAGTATTAAATCCATTCCTATCAAATATTCTTGTAATTTGAGGTGATTCATCATCTTCTCGGTATTAAAATATTCACTCTCATTATACATATTGGTCCATTTAAAAGTTATTTTCAATTCTTTTGCAAAATAAACATTCTTAAATGTCAAAAAGATAAAAAACTATTGTGGAATTACTATTAGTTAAATATAATGGTTGTAAATCCTATAAACTATTAATAACATGAGTGTTTAAAACCATTGAAAATCACTTTCTATAAAATCATTTATGTGGGTTAGAGTACTCTAAATAGTTATAAAAAATTTCCTTGCTGATAAAAAAAAAAAAATCACACAGGCAAATTTGGTTGTGCATAGCTTATAATGGTTATTTTGTTTTGTTAAAAAACGATGAAGCCTGTTTACAAAGTTAATTTAAACCAATAAATTTATATATTTTTTATCATGAAAGAAAGGAACTGTAATGTCTACCTTGCAAAGTGTTCCATTTTTATCCCAATATGCAACTTTTTGGATTCAATACAATTTTCATGTCTGCATGCACATTTTATGCTTCAATACAATTTTGGGCTTTCTATTAAAAGAATATAATTTTGATTTGTCTTAATTTTGGTTCATGTTTGATTATTTTTCTCACATTTTAATTAATTAAATAGTGTTTATTGCACTTCTAAATAAATATGTTCAAATTGATGATTATTTTATAATTACATATTTTCTAAACTAAGAACATAAAATATCTTTGTTTTTAAAGGTGATATTACGTTGACAGTAGTATTTGTCTTACATTCAACTTATAACTTCATATAATATTATTTTATTGTAATTCTTTAATTATATTTATTCTTATTACATTAAGTATAATGTTTTATTATAAAACGAATTGTCAAAGTAAGTGTACGTAGATTCAAAAGGGAGTGTCAAAGAATTATTTTATTAATATCAAAATCGCGGATTGAGGAAAACAGGAAATACAAACTGTATTTAAACCTATATTTCAATTAAACTCCAAATCTCTTGTTAAATTATTTTTCATAAAAACTGTGTTAAAAAGAGTTTGGATTAAATATCAGGACAAAAACTGAAATTGAAAAGAAAAAATAATCAAATTCTTAAATAAATTAATCAGCTACTACTAAATTCTATTCCCACCAATGACATCACAACAAAGTATACATATGCTTATAATGAAAACAAAAGACCATGCAGAATTGGAAACATAGTAAGATGAAGATTAATAATTAGCTGTAAGCCTATTTTCGAGAGAGAAAAATTAGCTGTAAATAAGGTTTAACTTTTCATACATAAATATATGGAAGAGACATACTAATTAAGTGTTTAAGAAGTGGTTAATGAAATGGAATAATGAATGAATGCAGACAGAGTCAAGGATAAGAAGGTGGAAGAGTTTGTGTTGGATAAGTCAAATTAAATTTCCCAAGTTTGAGACGTCTCATCTATTAAAAGGGTTTGCAATATCTAGAAGCCTCAGCAGCACGCCACGTGGAAGATGTGATACAAAAATCGTGCACTTGAGAGTGGCTATGGTTAGACGCATATATTGGTTTTCTTAATTATGGAATTGCTACCACCTTTTCTGTCCCACTTTAAGATAAAGCAAAAGCAAGCAGCTTAGGGGAAATAGAAAAGCAAAAGAAGAAAAAGAAAAACATGAAAGGAAGAAAGAAAAGAAAACAAAAGCAATAAAGAAAGAAAACAAAGACAAAAGGTTCTCAAAACTCCATGATTATTCAAATTCTCTCAAAAACAGTACCGAGCACTGCTAGTGTTCCCCCTACTTAATCAGAACCTCTCAAACAACCTTCGATCGGAACAACGTCTTCCTTTTTCTTCTGTAGAGATCATACCAAAATTCAGAAAGCCATGAACAGAGGTGTCTTGCAAAGCTCACCGGTGCAACAAATGATGGCTGCAAACCCTAACAATTGGTGGAACATCAACACCATGCGCCCTCCTCCGCCTTCTCCTCCTCCTCCTTCTCAGCCTTCTTCTCCGTTCTTCTCCACTCCTTCCAACTTTCTAACTCCGTATAATACCTCTTCATCTCTTCCTCTTCCTTCTTGGCATGATAACAATCAAGAACTACCTGAGTCATGGAGCCAGCTTCTCATGTAAGAATCACTCCTTCTTTCTCTCTCTCACAGACACACAAACACATCACTTGACTGTGTTTTTTACTTGTTAGTATCAATTTAAAGACAGATCATTTCATTTTTCAAAAACCTTTTAAGTCAAAATAAGGAATTGTTTCTTTGATTATTTGAAGGATCAAATCTAAGTAGCTGAGTTTTGTTTTTGATTGTATGTACGGTTTTGGGAAATAGGAGTGGGATGGTGTCTGAAGAAGAGAAAGGGGCTATGTGCCAGGTTCAGCAACAAATGCTGAGTCAGGCTTCAAGGGTTCCTATTGTTGATGTTAAGCAAGAAGGCTCGGTGAACAGCTACGTGTACGGTCATGGAAACGAAGAGTTTCACCCAGCAAAGCCAACTTGGCCTCAAATAGTGCCTTCTTCTTCCCCTAAATCATGTGTAACAAGTTTCAGCAGCAGCATGTTAGATTTCTCTAACAGTAACACAGATGCTAGGCCTCCTCCTCCAGACCCATCATCAGAGGTATATATTATATTACTGATACATGTTATTTAATTTCTTTTCTGGGTTTTGCTTTGAGTTATGTTATACATTTCGTGAAACTTTACTAAAACGGTATTGAAGAATATTTGCTAATATGATTTCTGATTGATAAAGGCATATGGGTCCTCTCCAACTTTTATTTTTTGAATGAATATTTATGTCAAACGGTTCTTCTATTCTTTCTTTATTATATAGATCAAGCATAACGGATTTCTTTGCTTCTCTTTATGTTCTATTCTTTCTATATAATAAAACCAATTCTAGTAAATTCATGGTCTTNCATGAAAGAAAGGAACTGTAATGTCTACCTTGCAAAGTGTTCCATTTTTATCCCAATATGCAACTTTTTGGATTCAATACAATTTTCATGTCTGCATGCACATTTTATGCTTCAATACAATTTTGGGCTTTCTATTAAAAGAATATAATTTTGATTTGTCTTAATTTTGGTTCATGTTTGATTATTTTTCTCACATTTTAATTAATTAAATAGTGTTTATTGCACTTCTAAATAAATATGTTCAAATTGATGATTATTTTATAATTACATATTTTCTAAACTAAGAACATAAAATATCTTTGTTTTTAAAGGTGATATTACGTTGACAGTAGTATTTGTCTTACATTCAACTTATAACTTCATATAATATTATTTTATTGTAATTCTTTAATTATATTTATTCTTATTACATTAAGTATAATGTTTTATTATAAAACGAATTGTCAAAGTAAGTGTACGTAGATTCAAAAGGGAGTGTCAAAGAATTATTTTATTAATATCAAAATCGCGGATTGAGGAAAACAGGAAATACAAACTGTATTTAAACCTATATTTCAATTAAACTCCAAATCTCTTGTTAAATTATTTTTCATAAAAACTGTGTTAAAAAGAGTTTGGATTAAATATCAGGAAAAAAACTGAAATTGAAAAGAAAAAATAATCAAATTCTTTAATAAATTAATCAGCTACTACTATAAATTCTATTCCCACCAATAACATCACAACAAAGTATACGATATGCTTATAATGAAAACAAAAGACCATGCAGAATTGGAAACATAGTAAGATGAAGATTAATAATTAGCTGTAAGCCTATTTTCGAGAGAGAAAAATTAGCTGTAAATAAGGTTTAACTTTTCATACATAAATATATGGAAGAGACATACTAATTAAGTGTTTAAGAAGTGGTTAATGAAATGGAATAATGAATGAATGCAGACAGAGTCAAGGATAAGAAGGTGGAAGAGTTTGTGTTGGATAAGTCAAATTAAATTTCCCAAGTTTGAGACGTCTCATCTATTAAAAGGGTTTGCAATATCTAGAAGCCTCAGCAGCACGCCACGTGGAAGATGTGATACAAAAATCGTGCACTTGAGAGTGGCTATGGTTAGACGCATATATTGGTTTTCTTAATTATGGAATTGCTACCACCTTTTCTGTCCCACTTTAAGATAAAGCAAAAGCAAGCAGCTTAGGGGAAATAGAAAAGCAAAAGAAGAAAAAGAAAAACATGAAAGGAAGAAAGAAAAGAAAACAAAAGCAATAAAGAAAGAAAACAAAGACAAAAGGTTCTCAAAACTCCATGATTATTCAAATTCTCTCAAAAACAGTACCGAGCACTGCTAGTGTTCCCCCTACTTAATCAGAACCTCTCAAACAACCTTCGATCGGAACAACGTCTTCCTTTTTCTTCTGTAGAGATCATACCAAAATTCAGAAAGCCATGAACAGAGGTGTCTTGCAAAGCTCACCGGTGCAACAAATGATGGCTGCAAACCCTAACAATTGGTGGAACATCAACACCATGCGCCCTCCTCCGCCTTCTCCTCCTCCTCCTTCTCAGCCTTCTTCTCCGTTCTTCTCCACTCCTTCCAACTTTCTAACTCCGTATAATACCTCTTCATCTCTTCCTCTTCCTTCTTGGCATGATAACAATCAAGAACTACCTGAGTCATGGAGCCAGCTTCTCATGTAAGAATCACTCCTTCTTTCTCTCTCTCACAGACACACAAACACATCACTTGACTGTGTTTTTTACTTGTTAGTATCAATTTAAAGACAGATCATTTCATTTTTCAAAAACCTTTTAAGTCAAAATAAGGAATTGTTTCTTTGATTATTTGAAGGATCAAATCTAAGTAGCTGAGTTTTGTTTTTGATTGTATGTACGGTTTTGGGAAATAGGAGTGGGATGGTGTCTGAAGAAGAGAAAGGGGCTATGTGCCAGGTTCAGCAACAAATGCTGAGTCAGGCTTCAAGGGTTCCTATTGTTGATGTTAAGCAAGAAGGCTCGGTGAACAGCTACGTGTACGGTCATGGAAACGAAGAGTTTCACCCAGCAAAGCCAACTTGGCCTCAAATAGTGCCTTCTTCTTCCCCAAAATCATGTGTAACAAGTTTCAGCAGCAGCATGTTAGATTTCTCTAACAGTAACACAGATGCTAGGCCTCCTCCTCCAGACCCATCATCAGAGGTATATATTATATTACTGATACATGTTATTTAATTTCTTTTCTGGGTTTTGCTTTGAGTTATGTTATACATTTCGTGAAACTTTACTAAAACGGTATTGAAGAATATTTGCTAATATGATTTCTGATTGATAAAGGCATATGGGTCCTCTCCAACTTTTATTTTTTGAATGAATATTTATGTCAAACGGTTCTTCTATTCTTTCTTTATTATATAGATCAAGCATAACGGATTTCTTTGCTTCTCTTTATGTTCTATTCTTTCTATATAATAAAACCAATTCTAGTAAATTCATGGTCTTGTACGACTTCTATTTTCTTTTTCTCTGCATTATAATTTTAACCAAAAGTTTTTGTTTTTTATTTATTTTATTCTCAAGTGTAATAGCACTGCAGCTGGTGGGGCAATCAAGAAAGCTAGGGTTCAACCGCCCACAACGCAGACGACCTTCAAGGTATTTTTCATCCAATGAAAACTATTATACAGAAACTTCCAACCTCGAACACTTTTTCAGGCAAGCCAACACACATAACCGCACACAAACATCACATGTGTGTGGCTGGTCACTATTGTTTTTCTTGATTGTCTTGTTCCTGCACATGTTTTTTTTTTTTTTT